GTATTGTTCTCAGGGTGTGAATACGGTCTATAAGACAAAATATATTGAAATGTGAAAAGTCTACAAGAAAATTATATTGCTAGTTATCACAATTCGATTGATAAGACTTCCTCTCATTGGTATTTTGGGAAGTAGAAATATGTGAACAATTTAGTGAGAATGGGACTCGTGAAGATTATTATTATTAAAGAGAATAGACTACAGGTTAAAAAAAAAAATAGTTCAGCAGTTTTAAAGAATAATTTGTTTACTAACCCGGACGAGGGGGTCAGCTGGGGCGGCGAGCCTGCATCAGTAGCAGCAGGAGGCAGCTGGTCACCACTAGCCAACTGCTGACTAGGGCAGCAGACCCAGCAGTATGCACAGCGGCAGACTCCTCTCCTGCAACAGCAGCAGATAAACCACCTAAAGTGTGGCCGTCTCTTGAGTATATATATATATATATATATATATATATATATATATATATATATATATATATATATATATATATATATATATATATATATATATATATATATATATATGTCGTACCTAATAGCCAGAACGCACTTCTCAGCCTACTATTCAAGGCCCGATTTGCCTAATAAGCCAAGTTTTCATGAATTAATGTTTTTTCGTCTACCTAACCTACCTAACCTAACCTAACCTAGTTTTTTTGGCTACCTAACCTAACCTTACCTATAAATATAGGTTAGGTTAGGTTAGGTAGGGTTGGTTAGGTTCGGTCATATATCTACGTTAATTTTAACTCCAATAAAAAAAATTGACCTCATATATAGAGAAAAGGGTAGCTTTATCATTTCATAAGAAAAAAATTATAGTAAATATATTAATTCAGGAAAACTTGGCTTATTAGGCAAATCGGGCCTTGAATAGTAGGCTGAGAAGTGAGTTCTGGCTACTAGGTACGACATATATATATATATATATATATATATATATATATATATATATATATATATATATATATATATATATATATATATATATATATATATATATATATATATGTCGTACCTAGTAGCCAGAACGCACTTATCAGCCTACTATGCAAGGCCCAATTTGCTTAATAAGCCAAGTTTCATGAATTAATTGTTTTTCGACTACCTAACCTACCTAACCTAACCTAACCTAACTTTTTAGGCTACCTAACCTAACCTAACCTATAAAGATAGGTTAGGTTAGGTTAGGTAGGGTTGGTTAGGTTCGGTCATATATCTACGTTAATTTTAACTCCAATAAAAAAAATTGACCTCATACATAATGAAATGGGTAGCTTTATCATTTCATAAGAAAAAAATTAGAGAAAATATATTAATTCAGGAAAACTTGGCTTATTAAGCAAATCGGGCCTTGTATAGTAGGCTGAGAAGTGCGTTCTGGCTACTAGGTACGACATATATATATATATATATATATATATATATATATATATATATATATATATATATTAAATATGACCGAAAAAGTAAGATTAATAATTCTAACACGAATTTTCTCAATCTTTCGTACATTTCTTTTCACTGCTGGTGGTAATTCAAAAATTAATTCTCCAAAATTCATTTTTATTTCTAGTCTAGACTAGAAATAAAAATAAATTTTGGAGAATTGATTTTTGAATTACCACCAGCAGTGAAAAGAAATGTACGAAAGATTGAGAAAATTCGTGTTAGAATTATTAATCTTACTTTTTCGGTCATATTTAATAATAAATAAAATATATATATATATATATATATATATATATATATATATATATATATATATATATATATATATATATATATATATATATATATATATATATGTCGTACCTAGTAGCCAGAACTCACTTCTCAGTCTACTATGCGAGGCCCGATTTGCCTAATAAGCCAAGTTTTACTGAATTAATATATTTTCTCTAATTTTTTTCTTATGAAATGATAAAGCTACCCATTTCATTATGTATGAGGTCAATTTTTGTTTATTGGAGTTAAAATTAACGTAGATATATGACCGAACCTAACCAACCCTACCTAACCTAACCTAACCTATCTCTATAGGTTAGGTTAGGTTAGGTAGCCGAAAACGTTAGGTTAGGTTAGGTTAGGTAGGTTTGGTTATCGAAAAAACATTAATTCATGAAAACTAGGCTTATTAGGCAAATCAGGCCTTGCATAGTAGGCTGAGAAGTGAGTTCTGGCTACTAGGTACGACATATATATATATATATATATATATATATATATATATATATATATATATATATATATATATATATATATATATATATATATATATATATATATCACTGAGTATACTTTTGTCCTTGATACAGTGTCCTTGCATACAGTACAATAGTATGCGTGTGGTTGGTCAGTGAGTTATTGTTGTGGCCTTAATCACCCTTCCAGTAAACATTTGTCTCGCAAGTTTATCTGATCTATTTACTTCTGCTTAGTTTTTTGTGTGTGTAGTGTTGTGTCTGAATACTTAACTTGGAAATCGGTTCTAGTTTCCGGCAATGTTGGATCTGTGGGACTTGGACTTTACTCCACGTTCAATTAGTGGGACACATACACTAATTCTACATGATTCTGAGGTTCGCTGATACTACTTCCAGCTGGTTTGGTGGTAAACAAGCTCTTGTAGCTCCATGAGTGTGACATAGACACCACTACTTCCTGAATGAGTTGGACATAGCCACTGTAACTAACTGGATCAGTGCAAAACAGACCTCTAGCTGTATCAGCAAACCATAGCCACTTCTCCTAGCCGTATCAGCGAACCGTAACCACTACTCCTAGCTGGATCAGCGGACCGTAACCACTACTCCTAGCCGTATCAGCGGACCGTAACCACTACTCCTAGCCGTATCAGCGGACCGTAACCACAACTCCTAGCTGGATCAGCGGACCGTAACCACAACTCCTAGCTGGATCAGCGGACCCTAACCACTACTCCTAGCTGGATCAGCGGACCGTAACCACTACTCCTAGCTGGACCAGCTAGGCACTGCCGACAACTACATGTGATCATCGACTCCACACACGTACTCGTCATCACCAACGTTCAACTTGTCGCCTTACCGTTGACGACGTGAACCAGCACGGAGGCGGCGTCGGCGAACTGGGGAGCGCACGTGTAGTTGCCCGAGTCCCCCTTCATCGCCCTCGTCAGGAAGAGCTTCGAAGTGGTTCTGGTGGGGGTCTTCTCGATCTCTATGCTGACGCCACCCCTGCGGAAGACAAGCAGGCGACGACTGAAGAGGAATGGAGAGGTGAAAATGTATGTTGAAAAGGGGAATTGGCCGAGGAGAATGGCGTAGGGTGAAAAAGAATGAGAAATTGATGAGGTGCATGATAAGAGAGGTGAGGATGGAGAGAAAGAGACATAGAGGACAAGAATAAAAGTGATATATAGAATGATTGATCATAATATGGTAAACGATTAGGAAGGAAATACAGGCAGGAGAGTGAAGAATGAGACCAAAAAAAATAAAAGGGGGATTCGGAACTAACAGATTAACGCGTAGACAAAGTAAATGAAACAAGACCATAATATACCACGAACGAAGAAACAGGTAGACACACAGAGGAGAGGAGAGGAGAGGAGAGGAGAGGAGAGGAGAGGAGAGGAGAGGAGAGGAGAGCTGTTTAACTCACCCGTAACAAAACAAAAGTCCTTCAAAATGGACAGAAACAGCGCAACAACACCCACCTGGGAGAGTCGTAGTCGAGCTCGTTGCTGTCCCGGAACCAAGTGACGGCTCCCACGTTCTCGGAGTGGGTGTTGACGATGCAGGTGAGCTTGATGGTCGAGCCGCTCTGTATATATACCTCTTTGGGGCCGTTGATCTTTGCTTGCTGAACTGCAAGACCACAGGTTTTATGTTTTAATTTGAAAGCAAAGGCTGATTTCTGATAGGTTTTATGACCTGGAGGAGTGAATACATATGGAGCCAGTGCGCGCTTTTGGGGAGCTTTTTTTTGGGAGGGGGGGGGGCTAGGGGGCTTTTGCGCATCAGCTGCGCAATGTTCGACTTACACTTGTATTTTTGTTGCTGCCAAGAAATTTCAAGGTTAAAATAAAGCATAAAATGCAACCAAAAAATGTAAACTCAATTATCAAGATCCTTAATTTTCACGTGTAATTTTTTTCTTTGTTTGGATGTTGTTGTTGTTGTTAAAGATTCGCTAGCTAGAACAAAAAGTTCCAAGTAGCACGGGCTATGGTGAGCCCGTAGGTTGTTTGGATGACAGGAATTGGTTTGGTGTTGGGTTTAAGGCTATGAAACTCTGGAGGGTTATTAAGGTCACCACAAGTGCTTACTGACCATCCAGTAAGAATACTTTCATCCTAGATGAAAGTATTATCATCCAGTTAAAAGTTGTTGACGCTATCTACAATGATAGTACAACTAGATGTACTCTAGTTGTAGACTCTATCTATAACTAGAGTCTACTCTTATCTGCAACCTAAGTCTATTCTTATCTACAACGTAAGTCTACTCTTATCTTAGAGTTTTCTACAAAAAATTAACAGAAGTAAACTGGACCTTTAGAAATAATATTTTTCCTCAACAAGCTTAACTGTCACTTCTTATCTTGAGATAATGAGAAAAGCTTAACTGTCACTTCTTATCTTGAGATAATGAGAAAAGATAACTTCTGATTTGTTTAGTTTTCCCTCAGACTTCCGCGTATCCCAGTAGCAGTTATGTATACAAGTTCTTAGAATATTCAGTATGAAGCTCAAAACCAGGCAGTAATTTGGGATGAAAAGAGAATTTGTGATAACGGAAGAAGAGGTAAAATATAGATTTAAAAAGCACACACACACACACACACACACACACACACACACACACACACACACACACACACACACACACACACACACACACACACACACACACACACACACAAAAAAAAAAAAAAAAAAAAAAAAAGTGGGGTAACTTAGTTAACTTGGGCAAACAGAAACTGGGGCGCGGTAATATGAATAATTGTATGACAGTGTACTCACCTAGTGTGTGTGTGTGTGTGTTCACCTAGTTGTATTCACCTAGTTGTGCTTGCGGAGGTTGAGCTCTGCTCTTTCGGCCCGCCTCTCAACTGTTACTGACTACTAACTAATTTTTTTCACACGCACACACACACACACAGGAAGCAGCCCATAACAGCTGTCTAACTCGCAGGTACCTATTTACTGCTTGGTAACAGGCGCATCAGGGAGAAAGAAACTACCCATTTTTCTCTGTCGGCGCCGGGAATCAAACCCGTTCCATTGGATTACAAGATCCGCGCGCTGTCCATTCAGTTATCAGACCCCCCCGTGTGTGTGTGTGTGTGTGTGTGTGTGTGTGTGTGTGTGTGTTTGTGTGTGTGTGTGTGTGTGTGTGTGTGTGTCTAAGTACATTATGAGAAATACACACACACGCACTGGAATGTTGTGTATGTCTCTAACACATCAATCGGAAATGGCTCTTTAATGAACACATATCAGGCATCTTTACGTATGTATGTATGTTCTGTGAACCATAACCTACGCTCCCTTCTTCCCCAATCTCTGAACGAGCATCCAACAAGATCCCCAATCAAGTCAATCCCCCTATCAAAGTGAGGAGAGAAAATGCTGCGCACATAAAGGTAGACAGAAGAACATGATTTGTTTCTCTCCAGACTTCTGAGGTTTCTGTTCTGCTCCTTCGTGCTGGTAGTATTGTAGTAGTAGTAGTAGTATTGTAGTAGTAGGCATCCATCAGTCTCAGGAGACTATGGAGTTGCGCTCTGGTTGTCGGTCTGGAGTGGCCTCTCCAGGGCGCAAAGCCTAGGTAGGTTGATTTGGGGGAAGAAGCTGTTACCCAGGCAACAGGTTCCCCCTTTCCACGGGTATATTAACCCCATGGCGCACGATATATATATATATATATATATATATATATATATATATATATATATATATATATATATATATATATATATATATATATATACAACAAACTGAAAACAAAATAAGAAACAATAGAGCCCACAAGCTTTCACCGTTGTGAGGGGGGGGGAGGGGGTTCTCAGCCACAGTGTTGGTAAAATAAAAGGGAAGCTCTTGTTTCTCTCCCCAGTCGTAATGCAAGAAAATATCTGCCACCAAGCCTTGCAACTTTTCACTCTTGGATTTTTTTATGAGGTGGGACAAGGGTGGCTGAGGGAATCCAAGCGGAAAGGGTGATGCATTTGCAATGTTTTGTCGTGGATATATTTTTGAGCGATAGATGTAGAGAGAGAGACAGGGGAAATATATAGACAGTGGTAACGGCAAGGTAGATAGTTACAAAGTTATGGACAGAAATAGAGATATCGTTAAATCGGGTCAAAGTTAGAAAAAACGGCTTCGAGACTGAACTTCTTGAACAGTATAAGGTCTTGCGCAAGCCCCTTACAGCGTGAAACAGACGGTGGAGTGTGGTGAGGGGAGTTCGTGTGGTAGTGATGAGTTGTAGGGCCGTTCGTATGGTAATGATGAGTGGTAGGGCCGTTCGTGTGGTCGTGATGAGTTGTAGGGCCGTTCGTATGGTAATGATGAGGGGTAGGGCTGTTCGTGTGGTCGTGATGAGTGGTAGGGCCGTTCGTGTGGTAATGATGAGTGGTAGGGCCGTTCGTATGGTAGTGATGAGTGGTAGGGCCGTCCGTGTGGTAGTGATGAGTGGTAGAGCCGTTCGTGTGGTAGTGATGAGTGGTAAGACCATTCGTGTGGTAGTGATGAGTTGTAGGACCATTCGTGTGGTAGTGATGAGTTGTAGGGCCGTTCGTGTGGTAGTGATGAGTTGTAGGGCCGTTCGTGTAGTAGTGATGAGTGGAAAACCCGTTCGTGTGGTAGAGCCGTTCGTGTGATTGACAGGTGCAGTATTGGAGGGGTACGATGGTGAGTGGGTGGAGTTGCTGACCTTTTCCAGAGAAGGTAATTTAACTCTGCTAATTAACCCTCACGCATAACGTTCCTAATGCATGCGTTAATGTTAAATCACGCGCATTATATTATAGTGCCCGGAACGTCATCGCATAAACTAACTGAATAATAAAATTCGATTCAGGACGGACCGAAACGTCGTCAATTATTATATTTTTTTTCCAGATTTGTGGGTTGGGTGTCTGATTTCCAGCCAAGTTATTCTGCCTCACTGTCTGCAGTAATGCTTTACTGTATTAATCCAGGGAACATAAAGTCCCGCTGGCTTCATTTCACATTATTGCGAGTAAGTTTCGTTATGTCAGATTCAAAATAATATACTGCATTTCATTTAGCGCTTTCATATACATAAATGTATTGTAAGTAAGAGTATGACTAGTAGAGTTGTCTATTTTAATTGGCGAGAGAGAGAGACGATAGTGTTTTTCACTTTGATGTGATGATAGATTTTCCTCGTCGTCGAGTTCAGTTGGAGACTCCTACAGCGATCAGGTCACCGACGGGTCCTGACAGGGATAGAGCCTGTTATCTGAGGTAGACTGTACCCTCTTGGGCAGTTGTAAGGAGTCAAGGGCAGAGTGTGAGAAGTGGATATGTAAGCATAAAACGCGAATATATATATATATATATATATATATATATATATATATATATATATATATATATATATATATATATATATATATATATATATTATATATATATATATATATGTAGATATAAACCTCACTCCGCACGACTCCTTACGATTAGGAGTCGTATTTATTTGGTTTTCATTACCTAATTCTAAAGTTAATGAAATTATACTTGCTCATTTAGATGTTTTGTTGACTCTTCTAATGATATTGATTTCTCGTGGCGAATAAAGCGGCATATAATAGTCTGGAGTTGACTACCTGGCAATAATAAAATTAGTGAGTGTTTACTAAGAGGCAAATTAAGTATTAAGTTCTCAGAGCATTCAAATATATTTAATTATTAGTATAATTACCCTCCCTCCCCCTCATTCGATCCCCCCCCTCTCTCTTCCCCTCAACCCCCCCCCCCCCCCCCAACTGCACCAATCTTGCGCCTTCTCGTCTCACTTCCAATATCTCCCTCTATTCCCCTTTCTCCTTCTCTCCCCGTCTTCCTCTTTCTCCCCTCTCCTCCCTTCCCTTCTTATTCACTTGTCAACCTCTTTTCCAACCTTCCTCCCTCCTTAACCTCCCCTTTCCACCACCCCCTCTCCTCTTCCACACTCTCTTCCACCTTTCTCTCCCAACATCCCCTTGTAACCACTACTCCCCTTTCTTTACATTTTTTGGTATTAACACATTTAGGTACATCTGCATTTGTGCAGCTGCCCTAGACTATATGAAGGGGAGTACAGTGTGTGTAAAACGGAGATGAAAATTGATATATAACTCTACGGAAACAACAACCTATTCATAATATATATATATATATATATATATATATATATATATATATATATATATATATATATATATATATATATATATATATATATATATGTGTGTGTGTGTGTGTATGTATAAAATGTATGTTTGTGTGTTAAAATAAATATGCTTGTGTGCGCGAGTGAGTGTATGTGTGTCTCCAGCAGCTGATGCCCTCCACAGCCGGCGGCAGCTCCTCCACCTGGACAAGATGCGGGACCACTTTTCTTTAACTTACGACTCGACCTAGATTATCCTGCCACTTATGAACCTCAGTAATTATATTCAAGTGTAAATTACGCTGCCGTTATACCCAGACCGCGGAAACCAGTTAGGCAGCATGGGGGGGGGGGGATAACTGGCTCCTTATAACCTGTATCAATTTATGTTCATTTATCAAAAATTATGTTTTCAGAAATTCTTTAGAGTATCGTATAGGTTGTCAGGTATAAAACTAATACACATCATTTTTTATATACAATTCAGTGGCGTGAATATTCTGTATAGTTTTGGTACATGTTCATACTTATTGGATTGATATTACCTCTGCTACTTTCAACGTTTTCTTCCAAGTAGCTGAATCTAAAATAACAAACCAAGTTCACTACGAGCTCATCATAGCCTGTGCTACTTTAAACTTTACGTTCCAAGTAGCTGAATCTCCCACAACACACCACCAAGTACACACACACAACACCGCTTCTGTACCAGGTAAGTCCACTATGGGCTCACCACAACCCGTAGCTGAATCTAAAACAACAACCTACCTATATTAACATAACTGCATACCTCTGCACGTATATAAATTGTGTTATATATTAATTTGGGAAGTTAAGTAACGGGAATAAGAGAAACGTTGCAAATATAAACGCGAAGGCAGGACAATTACCAATCAGTTTCACCTGTAGTGACCATAACAGGTGACCCCCACACCTTTTGACACTAGAGAAACTTTGATGATAATAGTACATTATTTTTTTAATAATAGTGAAACTTTGATGATAATAGTACATTATTTTTTAATAATAGTGAAACTTTGATGATAATAGTACATTATTTTTTAATAATAGTGAAACTTTGATGATAATAGTACATTATTTTTTAATAATAGTGAAACTTTGATGATAATAGTACATTATTTTTTAATAATAGTGAAACTTTGATTATAATAGTACATTATTTTTTAATAATAGTGAAACTTTGATGATAATTCTGAAACAATAGGTAAAATCGTGAAACAATTTTGATGTCAGTGAAACAACTGTGACGCAAATGAAAGTGTTCATAAGTCAACCGACAACAGAGCGACCAAGTCTTCCCCCTCCTGGATTTAGGAGTTCACGAACCCCAGAGTGTTCAATAAATATTTAAAGCCGCCACGATGTCATATATAGCTGTGAGAGCAGTCAGCTTGGATGCCGCTGCCTTGCAGAAACCACATTAATTAGGGTTCGTAATTCCCAGAGGTTGCAACACCTCAACACGGGCATGCATTGTTAATCGCACTGATCACAGGACTGTTTAATGATTACTCTCAGTGGCCATACAACTGGTTTAATGATTAACCTCCCTGATTATAGGACTGATTTAATGGTTTACCTCACTGGTCACAGGATTGGTTTAATAGTTATTCTCAAAAGCCTTCAATCTAGCCAGTTGAGACAATGCATTAAGAGTTCGTTAGCATTATGCCTCTCCTAAATTAAGTAACTTTAACAGCTACTCCGAGCTTCTAATCACCAAGCACGAGGCCCGTGACTCCAAACCGACTGTTCAGATGTAAAAATCTTATCCTTTTTACACATGTCTCACAGGACGGTGGCTATTGCGGCCAGATCGAAGCTCTCACCCTTACTAAATGTTAAGTTCTTTCTGTTATAGCCAGGTATACTTGAAGAGCTGTCTGCCCCCCCCCCCCCCCCACCGCCTCCCCTTCTTCTCACTTCTCGGTGAATATCCACTAAAAGTTGACTTAAGTTGCAAACAATGTTCAGAACTGGACTATTGCATCCATGTAGCATTTAGTACTAATGAAAATTTAGTACTAAATGCTTCATGGATGCAACATTTAGTACTAATGAAAATGTACTGGGAAACGTAGAGCGACGAAGACATGGGAAACAAAGAAAACTTCTCAACCTATTCCCTCAAAAGTAGGCATAGACGAAAGTAAGGTAATTATCTGGAGAAAACACTAGGTCATTATAACTATATAGCATTTGGAAGGGATATAAGGAGAAGAATTTAGGATAGGACCAGGGGACAGGAATGGTGCCCAACCACTTAGACGGTCGGGGATTGAGCGATGACCTGCAAGAAGCGAGACCGTCGCTCTAGGTTGGACGCTAGAGCGACGGTCTCGCTTCTTGCAGGTCATCGCTCAATCCCCGACCGTCTAAGTGGTTGGGCACCATTCCTGTCCCCTGGTCCTATCCTAAATTCTTCTCCTTATATCCCTTCCAAGTGCTATATAGTTATAATGACCTAGTGTTTTCTCCAGATAATTACCTTACTTTCGTCTATGCCTACTTTTGAGGGAATAGGTTGAGAAGTTTGTTGGGCTGGCTGTGACGAAGGATGATAGAGAGGCGTTGTGAGGGCAAACGAACAAGCGGAACTGCTACCCAGTAATGTAAGAAGCATGACATCAGTAAACTACAGAATGTCCAGGCTAAAATAAAAAGGGAGTTGGAGACCATTCAGAAAATGAACTGGAACTATTACAAAATGTAAGGGAGAATATGCAACTGGTCAACACAATTAGAAACTTTGGTGCGAAATCACGAAAAACAATTTAAGAAACTGGATGGGATAAAAGCAGCCTGAGGAAATGAACCAATGTATTCTAAAGAAACAGCCAAAGAGCTGATGAGACCATTGACAATTGTTCGAAACGCCTCAGTTGAGAGAGGGAATATGCCAAAAACTTGGAAGACACCCAACAGTAATTCGATATTCAACCAAATGATCAAACAATAGCACACCAACAACAATCTAGTGTATCACCATCTAGGTGACACACTAGATGGCACACTAGATGGCATACTAAGTGGCACACTAAGTAGCACACTAGGTGACACTAGGTGAAACACAAGATTGCACACTAGGTGACACACTAGATGGCACACTAGATGGCACACTAGGTGACACACTAGATGACACACTAGATGGCACACTAGGTGACACATTAGGTGACACACTAGGTGACACACTAAGTAGCACCCTAGACAACACACACAAGTTTACAGAGATTCCTGACCCAGTCACAGAAGCATCTACAGACAGATATGAGGTAGAGCCGACCTGTACAGGAGCGCAGGGTAAGATTAACCTCTCCAGGAGAACCGTGTGAATTTATCTCCTATTATTCGTTAGTGAGCAGTGGTTAGGGAGAGACGCTTCTAAAGCTGTTACATCAGCGGTGAACCATAATGCATAATCTCCGTACCAATTAATGTGTAGCCTTATTTTGATGTTTTTCTTGCATTAACATAACTGACCCATCGCCTCCGCATACATTCTTTATATATTTATTCCTAAGCAACTTCTAGTCTTTTTGCTTCATTCTCTGTCACTTTTATGCCTTACCTTCCACCGTGAGAAGGACCGGTAGGAAGACCTTGGGACTGGTAGAAACCTGACACTCATACACGCCAGCATCCCTGAAGGTCACCGGATTGATCTCCAGGAACCACTCGTCGCTCTCTTCAGGATGGTACACCTGGGGGAGGAGACCAGATGTTGAGGGACACAATATAATAATAGAAGACTTATTGCTTAGTCAATAAATATTGGAATATTAATATCTTCATTGAGAGTACTACAGCACTACTACTAATAATAACCTCAGGAACGAGATGTGATTCGAAACAGAAAAATCTTTTTAAAGCAACATATTAATGACACAAGGGAACACCCCCTCCGTCTCCAATGATGGGTGGGTGTTCTACCTCATACATGGTCTCTTTGAGTGGTAGAGACACACTCACTCTCTCTCTCTCTCTCTCTCTCTCTCTCTCTCTCTCTCTCTCTCTCTCTCTCTCTCTCTCTCTCTCTCTCTCTCTCTCTCTCTCTCTCTCTCTCTCTCTCTCTCTCTCTCTCTCTCTCTCTCTCTCTCTCTCTCTCTCTCTCTCTCTCTCTCTCTCTCTCTCTCTCTCTCTCTCTCTCTCTCTCTCTCTCTCTCTCTCTCTCTCTCTCTCTCTCTCTCTCTCTCTCTCTCTCTCTCTCTCTCTCTCTCTCCTCTCTCTCTCTCTCTCTCTCTCTGTCTCTCCATTTTAAGCAGCAAGAATGAAGTGGGCAGGCGCAAGGCGTGCCGACAATACAGAGCAGCGCGAGTCTGCATGAGACGAAAAACATGGAGTGGACCCCGGACATCCTCCGCCAGACACACACACACACACACCAGCGGATACATACAAACCTCAGCAGGGCCAACATTCCTTCCGCAACAGGATACATTTACCAGCAGTGAACCAGGGGGCGGGGTGGGTCGCGGGTGACCGGGTTTACCAGGGTATACCCACAGCCAGTTTCAGAGAGAGCGACGAACTTTCTTCAGATGGGTTTAGAAAAGCCTTTAGCACGGCAAGGTTTTAGTTGACGATGTGTCGCTCAAACGTCAACTGTGTCGTCGTGTATTATTTTGAGTGATTCAGAAAAGTTGAGTTAGGAGCAAAGGTTGGTTCAATGGAGGAAAGGAAATTAAAAAAATGTTCCTCAGTATATTCAGCCTACATACAATAATTATGGTAGGTATAATAAGTTTTTTGTTTTAAAACGTTCACAAATTAACTGTTGGACACATAAGATATTAAAGTTTGTAAATTACGTCCATTTTCGGCCATACGGGCATACGAGTAAATTCAGACGTAATGTGTAAGAGAATAGGTTGATCGTATAATCCACTAGCAGGATTATCCCTGCTAACATAGTTTGAGTTATGTATGTCGATGATATATTGTGCTTATGGCCGGGTGACCAAACCGAATTTCTTAATGAAATTTTTTGGTGCCTTCAAATAAAATTCACAAATGAGAATGAGGAGAATGGTGTTCTTCCGTTTTTGGACATCATGATCCATAGAATCAATAGAAAGTGGTGTTCTTCCGTTTTTGGACATCATGATCCATAGAATCAATAGAAAGTTCAAATTTAATGTGTATAGGAAACCTACCAACGTGGGCTCGTATGTTCATTATTTTTCGAATCATCATAAAGTTAAACAAGCAGTATTTTTCAGGAATGTTTCTTCGAGACTTGAGGGTTTGCAACTCCGATTTTTTTATGAAGAAATTGCTAATATATATGAAATTGGGAAGAGTTTACAATACCCTAAGATTTTTTGGATTGCTCGTTCAGGCAAGCTAATCGTACGTTTTATAATCATGTCCCCAAAGCTAAACGCGGACTTAACAATTCATATGTATGACGAGTCACTGTATGTGCATTTGTACTCACCTAGTTGTGTTTGCGGAGGTTGAGCTCTGGCTCTTTGGTCCCGCCCCTCAACTGTCAATCAACTTGTGTACAGATTCCTGAGCCTACTGGGCTCTATAAAATCTACATTTGAAACTGTGTATGGAGTCTGCCTCTACCACATCATTACTTAATGTATTCCATTTGTTAACTACTCTGACACTGAAAAAATTCTTTCTATTGTCTCTGTGGCTCATCTGGGTACTAAGTTTTCACCTGTGTCCCCTTGTTCGTGTTCCACCCGTGCTAAAGAGTTTGTCTTTGTCCACTCTGTCAATTCCCCTAAGAATTTTGTAGGTGGATATTATGTCTCCCCCTTACTCTTTTGTTTTCCAGGTTCAGCTCCCTTAGCCTTTCCTTGTAGCTCATACCTCTCAATTCCGGTACTAGTCTGGTGGCATGCCTCTGAATCTCCTCTAACTTTACCTTGTGTTTAACTAGGTATTGACTCCAGGCTAGAGCTGCATACTCCAGGATTGGTCTTACATAAGTGGTATACAAGGTCCTGAACGATTCCTTACACAAGATTCTAAAGGCAGTTCTTATGCTGACCAGTCTATCATATGGTTATATGACCATAGTCGAGCTGTTGTATGTGTGATGTCGTGCGCAGTTTATATATTTACTGCGCTTCGTGTTACAACATATGTTCATGAATATGCTGATCTAATTCTCTATTCTTGTTGATATTGACATGTGTCAGCAGATAATCTTAAATTCTGTAACATCCCAGGCATGCTGGAACTCTTGCAAATCACATTTTAGCTGTTTGATGGTCACAGAAAACTGTAATATTTTAGCATTTCCTTAAGAAAATCTGAATAAAGGCTAACAGAAACCCGACTGTCGCATGCGACGTCGCTTCTGTATGCATCCAACCACTCCACTTATCCAATCTCCGTTGGAAATTTTTCTATTGAGTTTGCTTCTAGGATGTTACTTGGTAACTTGTTTCCAAACCAATGTTTACCTATTTGTTTTATACTGTAAATTTGTGTCACTCACGAATTCCTTGTTTCGTGTTCAAATTAGGATTAATACTTTTGGAAACCGAAGTATATATATCTTCTCTTAGTATGACGCCTTTATCGATTCGAACACTTCAATCAAGTCCCCTTTTATTCTATACATTAGTAGAAAGTATTGGTGATATTTGCTTTGTCTTTCTTAATAAAGGTTTTTATTAATGCCCCGGGATAAACTTAGGTATTCTTCTCTGCATGCTTTCAAGAGAATTTACATCCATTCTACTCCACGGTGCCCAAAAGGCTGCACTTCGTAATACAAGTGGAATTTCAAAGTTAAAGGAATTCCTTTACGGGATAGCAATAGAGTTTTCATTGCTGACAATTCTGGACTAGAATCCTGTTACATCGTTGGTTTTTATTTCGAACATTTGCTCTGTTTTATGAACAAATCCACAAGGGCCGTGACGAGGATTCGAACCTGCGTCCGAGAGCATCCCAGACGCTGCCTTAATCGACTGAGCTACGACATGGTCAAAAGGAGTTGAAACCGACTTTCTAGTGAACTTACTGGATCCTGCAACCTCTCTGAGGCACAAACCAAGGTTTTTACACAACTCCCCCATTTGCTCTGTTTTCCTTGTGATAAAGAGCCCTAATCCGACTTAAGAGGTCCCCCAGACAATACTGTGTGTCTCTACCTTCTTTGCCAATATATCGTGTGGAGCTGTAACAATAGCCTCAAATCTTGGTACACAGTATCGTAATCTTTCTCATTGTCTTATGTTTCATATATGCTTGAAAAGAGAAAGTGTAAATTTCTAAAATACGATTGTCCTTTATTTAGAACCTTGTTATAAGTTCTATATCATTTTGTGCTTTCTGAGGTGATTACTAATGACTCTTGCGATAATTTCGTCAATTAATCTGTTCCATATTGGACGTAAAAGTAATATAACGAGAGTTAGATACCAGTGATTTATCTCCGGTTTTCATAACTGGGACATTTACAGCTCTACAATTCTGGAACAGCGCCCCCTTCCCCCTCCCCCCCCGACTCGCGTGATTTAGGGAATACGCTTGAGAAATGTTGACTAAGCTTTTCCTTGCCATATTTTAGGATATCGGAAAGTATTTCACCCTCCGGGGGACTTGTTTAGCTTAACGCGTGTGCTGCTTACTGATTTCTCCCACAATTTTTAGCTTAACTAGTTTACTGCACCCTGCTATATAGTTCTTCAACCTCAGCAAAATTCACCTCTTCTATTTTCTAGTAAAGATATAAAAACTATTAATAATGCAATCAATTTAGTTACCATTTTAATCAGCCATTTAGTTATACCACCCATTGTAGCATACTAAATAGTAGCTGACATTTGGTCGTCATTATGTGTTAGCTGATCTGTCGCTTGCTTACAATAGGTAAGGTTACAAAGCTTTCTGTAACCTTAGTTTACACCTCTGGAAGACACCTTTGGGATTGGCCTTTGCTTTTCAATAATCATAAACATCTCCCACACCAACAAGGGGATACTTGCATTTACCTTAATAACAGGAGATACTTCTCCCACACCAACAAGAGATACTTGCATCTCCAATGCTGACAAGAGATACTTGCATTTCCAAGAAGCTTTTTATGCAATGGAGGAATACAATTATGACTGAGCTAGTCAAGGTTATAATTAGGCAATTCAAATTTGAATTTCAAATCGCCTGGAAATATGCATACTTAATTTTGAGTAATTAATTAGAGACGTTGTTAAGGGAATATATTGTATGGTAATTGAGAATCTTGAGTATGCAAATGGGAACTTGTGTAAATAGTGATAGCAACAGTATGCATAATTAGCAGGATAGGCTAGGTTAATGGTTTAGGTGGATTTCAATCTATTAACACGGACTTTAATTATTAACGCGATATGTTAGGAAAGCTTGAATGATTAATAGAGAATCTTATACATATATGCAAATATTTTCAGATCAATGTAAATTTAGTTAGATAAATTACGAATGCACAGATTTTGTATTGTTATCAATAATGCTTCAATTACAATAATGTAATAAATAATAATGTTGTAATTTTATATTAATAAGTATATTTATATAAGATTTGTCAAGAAGTAAATTGTAATTCAGATTTAAATATCATCTAGGAAACTTAAAGAAAAAGTTAAGAAATAATGAATAGGCCAAAAATATGCCCTTTTTGATGTTAACAACTGTACCAACTGTGACAACAGTCAGATTATACTAATTATAGTCAATCTTCAGGTTATAACAATACAGTCAATATAAGTTTACAGTAAAATTTTCTAGCTAAGTACAGTCCAAGCCCTATTCGAGCACACCATAGCTCGTGGTACTTTGAACTTCTGAACAGCTGAATCTAAAACAGCAGTGCAGTCAGAAGGACATTACAGTGTTGCCGCAACTTCCAAGTGACGCTTAAAAAAACAGGATGAATCGTAATATGCTGGTGAAGCAAAACGCGTTTTAATGACTAGCAATGATATATTTTGTATAAAGTTTGTTAGCAATATGTTACACAGGCGATGAGTCACAATAACGTGGCTGAAGTATGTTGACCAGACCACACACTAGAAATTGAAGGGACGACGACGTTTCGGTCCGTCCTGGACCATTCTCAAGTCGATTGTCTTGACAATCGACTTGAGAATGGTCCAGGACGGACCGAAACGTCGTCGTCCCTTCAATTTCTAGTGTGTGGTCTGGTCAACAATATGTTACATTTTAACACTGCGTCTCTGTCATTATATCTTTCACAATTGTAAAATGATGCTTTGTTTCACTCAAGAAATTAAAATATAAAATGGTTGTATATTTATGAATACAAATTAATCAGGTGTAAGTATACGTGCCCCAAATTCCATGTCCCTTGCCCAGGAATCGAACCCAGGACAATTCGGCTATGTCTGCGCAGTCTACTGGGATACACACACACACCCTGTGGGACCAGTGGAGTCCCACAGGGCTCTGTACTCGGACCTATCCTGTTTCTGATATACATAAATGATCTCCCAAGGGTATAGACTCATTCCTTTTAATGTTTACTGACGACGCCAAAATTATGAGAAGGATTAAGACAGAGGAGGATAGTTTGAGGTTTCAAGAAGACCTGGACAAGCTGCAGGAATGGTCGAACAAGTGGTTGTTCGAGTTTAACCCGAACAAATGTAATGAAGATAGGCGAAGGGACCAGGAGACCAGATACAAGGTATCATTTGGGAGATGAAATACATCAAGAGTCAAAGAGAGAGAAAGACCTGGGAGTTGATATCACGCCAGGCCTGTCTCCTAAAGCCCATATCAAGAGGATAACATCAGCGGTATATGCCAGGTTGGCCAACAAAAGAACGGCCTTTACAAACTTGTGTAAGGAACCATTCAGAACTTTGTATACCACATATGCCAGACCAATCCTGGAGTATGCGGCTCCAGCATGGAGTCCATTTCTAGTCAAGAATAAGACTAAGCTGGAAAAAGTTCAAAGGTTTGCCACCAGACTAGTACCCGAACTGAGGGGTATGAGCTACGAGGAGAGACTACGGGAATTAAACCTCACGTCACTGGGAGACAGAAGAGTTAGGGGGGACATGATCACCACATACAAGATTCTCAGAGGAATTGATAGGGGGGTAGATAAAGACATACTATTTAACACCAGGAGCACACACACTAGGGGACACAGGTGGAAACTGAGTGCCCAAATGAGCCATAGAGACATTAGAAAGAATTTTTTCAGTGTCAGAGTAGTTGACAAATGAAATGCATTAGGAAGTGATGTGGTGGAGGCTGACTCCATACACAGCTTCAAGTGTAGATATAACAGAGCTCAATAGGCTCAGGAACCTGTACACCAGTTGACTGACAAATGAGAGGCGGGACCAAAGAGCCAGAGCTCAACCCCCGCAAGCACAACTAGGTAAGTAACTAGGTACGTACACACACACACACACACACACACACACACACACACACACACACACACACACACACACACACACACACACACACACACACACACACAACATATCCACGGGACAACAGCCGCATCGTAATGATGTGGACACATGAGTATGATACATGTTGTTGTTTATCACCCACATGGCTCCCTAAGCGATGCAATGTATTAAATCTCTCCCCTGTGAATGTGATACATATATTACACAGCTACGGTGATACACACGAACCCAGTACACAGCTGCGGTGATACACACGAACCCAATACACAGCTGCGGTGATACACACGAACCCAGTACACAGCTGCGGTGATACACACGAACCCAGTACACAGCTGCGGTGATACACACGAAGCACGAGCCCAAGGAGGTATGTATATACAAGAACGTGAACTGAATTTGATGGGCATATATGATGAATCCGGGAACACGGTGGACAGGCATGTCCCAGCATCTGGGGACACACCGAACAGGCGTCTTCCAACATCCCTTTCAAACCGAGTAATCGTTACCCCCCCCCATCCAAGATTCATACACCAGCGTCCCCTCACCCCCTCCGTCCTCTCCAGACCTCCACTACTACCCTCTATCCCACCCCATCCCCAGGGACAACACCCGTCTCCACCAGATGCATAAAATCCTGCCCGAGTCTCAAAAGAAAAACAAATGAGCAGAGACTTCGCGTCAGAGATGGTTTCGGCGAGGGCCGTAAAAATGTCCTTAAGAGAATACCAGCAACTATCAACAAAGAGATGGAAGGTATACAAAACGAGGCTCCGGCAGACTCCCAGATGCGGGTGAAAGATTAATTCAAGCCAAACAGGCCTCCGGGGGGGATGGGAGCAAACAATAGCTAAAACGCCATAAAAGAACCTCACTGGAAATGCAGAAGAATAACACATTAACTACAATATCAGCCTGAAGGAGGCGCCAGCCAGCCAGTCAGCGCACAGACGCTGCGATGCTGCCCTCTTTTTTACATCTCCGGGATGTACTCGTTTTTCTCCTATAGGATGCCCTCTTTCTCTTCCTTCAGGATTTCCCCTTTCTCTCTTCTCCTCGAAGATGCTCTTTCTCCTCCTCTTCTGTCTCCACCAGATTATCCACTGTCTCCTCCCTCCTCTAGGATGCTGTCATGCTATCTCCCCTTCCGTGCAACCTGTGCTCCTTCCCTCTATCTCCTCCCCCACGGTACCTGCTCAAGCCTGTAAGTGGTGTTTGTGTGTACTCGCTTGGATACGCCCGTTGATGGGCTTGCAAGGTCGGGCGACAACTCACAAGCTACACCTGGCCAGGTTATGGTCAATTAATGCAATTATTCCCTCTACCCAAGACCACTTCTGGAGCGAGTCCAGATCCGTTAGTAAGTACCATAGTTTATTTTAGTCCTAATTTCTCATTAGATTTGCAAAGTTTTAAATCAATCATATGAAGGCAATTTTCTCTTTCAGGTTGTTGACATGCAAATTTTCCTTTTTATTAATACCGTGCTTTTGTTTAGAGAGCAGTAATAAATAACATTTAGCTGTTCTAAGTATTCTACTAGCCTGCTACAGATCAGTCTGTATTGTAACTTCCAGAGATTAATTAAATATTTAAAGGAGATTGCACAGTGGTTCAACTGCCTCCTTTAGTATCTTAGGTGATAACATTTCGGGTGCTAATATTCTTGTCACATCCAGTTCCTGTTTCCTTACTTATTCTGATGTCACTGCCACTTCAGTGACTCTTTCTTATGGGATTATCCGTTCAGTTAAGGCTCTTAGTTCGAGTGATAGATCAAGTTATAGCTTAAAGACTGTTTGGAAGGTTTTGTTAAGTTCTTCACATATTTCTTCATCGTTCTCTGTGTGGGTTTCCTCTTCATTCCCCACTTTCGTAGGTCCAGAACTACCCATATTCCACCCCCATCAGATCCTCAACCACCCTTAGCCTCATCAGGGCCATAACCTACCCCCCCCTCCCTCTGATACCGTTTCCTAACGGTTGGGCTGTTCTTTAGAAAGACGTATTACTTCAAGAAATGTTGTCTGAACAATAGTGTTAATATTAGGCTATGTTTCCAACTCTCTCTTGACACATCCGTGATTCAATATTCTGAGCGTGCACATGTACATGCATACCGTATACGCGTTTGTTATATATATATATATATATATATATATATATATATATATATATATATATATATATATATATATATATATATATATATATATATATATATATATATATATATATATATATATATATATATATATATATATATATATATACATACATATATATATATATATATATATATATATATATATATATATATATATATGTCGTACCTAATAGCCAGAACGCACTTCTCAGCCTACTATGCAAGGCCCGATTTGCCTAATAAGCCAAGTTTTCATGAATTAATTGTTTTTCGTCTACCTAACCTACCTAACCTAACCTAACCTAACTTTTTCGGCTACCTAACCTAACCTAACCTATAAAGATAGGTTAGGTTAGGTTAGGTAGGGTTGGTTAGGTTCGGTCATATATCTACGTTAATTTTAACTCCAATAAAAAAAATTGACCTCATACATAATGAAATTGGTAGCTTTATCATTTCATAAGAAAAAAATAAGAGAAAATATATTAATTCCGGAAAACTTGACTTATTAGGCAAATCGGGCCTTGCATAGTAGGCCGAGAAGTGCATTCTGGCTACTAGGTACGACATATATATATATATATATATATATATATATATATATATATATATATATATATATATATAATATAATATAATATAAGTATTTCTATGCTAAAGGAACTTTAAAGTAAAATTTAATTTGAAAAGAACCTTTGTATGACAATATTTACAACCAAGACGATTATCATGAAAGATACGAATCAGCGTTGATGTAAATCTTGATTTAAAACTCATAGAAAAGCAGAATGTGTTCTGTGAGCAGGTATACGGAGACAGTATCATGGGCATTAACCTGGAGGCGAGTAACATACACAGTCAACTCGGACGAAAATACACAGTCAACTCGTCTGTCTGTCTGTCTGTCTGTCTGTCTGTCTGTCTCTCTCTCTCTCTCTCTCTCTCTCTCTCTCTCTCTCTCTCTCTCTCTCTCTCTCTCTCTCTCTCTCTCTCTCTCTCTCTCTCTCTCTCTTTCTCTCTCTCTCTCTCTCTCTCTCTCTCTCTTTCGTCTTCCCTGTCACTTGTAATACATGACAGATTCCACAGAAATGAGGACGAGAGAACGGTACCTTGAAGCGGTCGTCGCTGGTGTAAGTAAAGATTCCCACCGTCAAGATATGGAGGTCCCGCTGCCTGATCCACGATACCTGCCCATGTACAAGGGAGCAAAACAGTATTAGAAGATATAAAATATACAACAAATTATAAGACTAACGTCGATTAAGTTAAACAACCTTATCCAAATTGTGATCATGATTTGTAAGTGTGCAGTTCAAATCTTTTTAAGGCAAGAAGGAGAGGGATTAATTTGGAGTGATACAGTACGGGATTACTTACATCTCGCTTGTCGAGGTTGATGACTTGGCAGGGAAGGGTGGCCTTCTGGCCCACCACCGCCGTGACGTTGGTGGGGGTGTCGTCGTCGAAGTAGGCCGTGTTGGTGTTGGGTCGTCCCCAGGTGATCTGGTGGTCCTCCCCTCCCTCCTCGCTCTCCTGACCTGTAATATATCACACCAGTACCGTAAGTTATGTATCTATTAAGTGTGTGTGTGTGTCCATCTCGCCTCCAGGCTTCTTGAGCAATTTATATATATATATATATATATATATATATATATATATATATATATATATATATATATATATATATATAATATATATATATATATATATATATAATTATATATATATATATATATATATATATATATATATATATAATTTATATATATATATATATATATAATTTATATATATATATATATATATATATATAATATATATATATATATATATATATATATATATATATATATATATATATATATATATATATATATATATATATATATTTATTTATTTATAGTGTGTGTGTATTTTGTTTCTGTCTCGGGAATACGAGATGCATAAAGGATTGATTGAGCTGCAGAATTCCGAGGAAATATTTTCCATCGTGCAATTGCCGTATTGTGAATAGAATTATTCCACTGTGAGGAGTTCTGGCATTCCGGTTCAGATTGGATGCGTGTAATGACATCACTTTGTTCATTGTCGTGAGTCTCTACGACCAGGGATGCGGCGTGGGGTATTCTATTTTCCAACTGTTCGCCTCCGTCGCCAGAAATGGAACAAAATAATAAGCGCGCGTGTTTGTTTATTTCAAATATGTACCATGAGAGACGTAAGCAAACATTATCTAATGAAATATTCAACGCGGCGAGATTATCAGGAATACAAAATAGAGGTTTTTATGTTGAAACGCTGTTAGAAATGTGACGTATGTGAGGCTTGGCGTGGGCCCAGCATTAGGCTACGGTTTCTGCAAAATATATATATATATATATATATATATATATATATATATATATATATATATATATATATATATATGCAACAATGATCACAAAAACACTGATCCAAGTATGCAGACTAACCACATATGAAAAATAGAAAATGCTTAACGCGTTTTCGGCTAATTCGCCTTCATCAGAGCAAAGTAGAATGAATCATTCTACTTTGCTCTGATGAAGGCGAATTAGCCGAAAACGCGTTAAGCATTTTCTATTTTTCATATGTGGTTATTCTGCATATATATATATATATATATATATATATATATATATATATATATATATATATACATATATATATATATATATATATATATATATATATATATATATATATATATATATATAATATACATATATATGCAATACAGTACTAAGGCAATTGGCTCTCTCTCTCTCTGCAGTTCTGTTTCTAGAATTTGCACACTTGTCATACATGGACCAGAGGAACCTTACGCTTTACGTTTCTTAACCAATTTCCTTGTGTGTCCTGTGGGATGGAATACGGGGTTAGTTACATTAGGTCAACACGCGGGAGGAGACAGTGGTTTCTGTCAGGACACTCTTGAGTATCAGAGCCTCTCCTCGCACTCTGTCACTTACTGACTAACTTCAAGAGTAAGTTCCCGAGAACTAATAACCCTTCCTGGGCACTGCCAACCGTTCCTGAGCACTTATAATCCTTTCTGAGCACTGACAACCCTTCCTGACTACTAGCATCTTTCCTATGCAATAACAACCCTTACTGAGCACTAACAAACCTTCCTGAGTACTAGCAACCCTTATTGAGCAATAAAAAGCCTTCCTGTGCAATAACAACGATTCCTAGGCCCTAACAACTCTTCCTGAGTAATAACAACCCTTCAGTGGCAATAACGACCCTTTCTGAGTACTAACTAACAACTCTTCAATCTTTTCCTGCCCATGAAGATTAGAATCCAGAGCAAAAACCTTCGCACTAGGTGGGAAGCATGAAGCTTCCTCCACAAGAGCAGCACCAGTAGTAGCAGCACCTCCACATCAGTAGCAGCACCACCAGCAGCAGTAGCAGCACCACCACCACAACTACCAGCAGTAGCAGCATCTCCACCAGCAGTAGCAGCACCACTACCAACAGTAGCACCACCACCACCATCAGTAGCACCACCACCAGTACCACCACCAGGAAAAGCAGCAACACCTCCACCAATAGCGTGAGCAGAAGCAGCAATTAAAATAACAAGAACAAACAGGGCGCTCTCATTAATGGCGCAAAACAAGAGGCGGCCGAGAAGCGTGCAGGCGGTGGCGGTAATGGGGGGGGGGGAGGTGAAAACGCCCCTTCCCCCCACTGTTGCTCTAATTACCGTCCATGTATCATGAAGATGTACACAAGCACTCAACAAACACACACACACTCTCACTCCACATATTCCCAGCAGCGCGAGATCTTGCATATGTAAATTAGTCTCTCTCTGGAAGGCTGGATATATATCTTGAAGATATCAAAACATTGTATAGAGTTTCAGAAGGGAAAAACATTTCGAGACGGTGGCCGTGGTAGTTTCTGCTGACACAAGCTGTAAGATTTACCCATGAAACTGCTATACAATGGGAAGGAAATCTGTATGTATTATCAAAGTCAGCATACTTTGTTTTATGGTTTGTGTTGCGAGTTTTAGGATCTTTTATGTAACACTCGAGGGGAGGAGAGTTAGGGGGAACTTGATAACAACATATATGATTCTCAGCTCGTCCTCCAAAAATGGGGTGGTAAATGTAAGGAGACAAATAAGTGCAATTATGTACTATTCATAGCAGTTAGGAATTGTACTTATTTTCACTTAGTATTAAATCGTACTGTCAAATATAACAGCTTCTATGGAATATTGACTAAACCGACAAAGCAGCCGTATTGAAAGCAAGCAACAGCAGAACGAGGAGGAAAGGGTATGAAATAGAGCTGTGATCTTACGAATGATGAAAACTATACAATTGCCAGTCCTTAAAGAACAAACTGTCAATTTACTTTTTGTGAGTTTTAACATGTTGTTTTGTGAGTTTGCATAGAGCAAAGGGCACTTGTATACCCGGAATTTTTACCTCTTGTTAACGCCATTCATTAATTCGTAAAACACTTGAATATTATCAGTCAGTTTAAGACCTGTATACGCGTGTCTTCGTGGGAAGACACGAATGTCTTCCCACGTCTTAAATGTCTATTTAAGGAAGAAATATATGGTTTAGAGGAGGCAATATGGTAAAGATTAAATAAATTCGCGTTATCACCTGATTTTACCAAGATTCCTGCTTTGCTACTTAGTTGTATTTAATTGTGCTTAATATACACAATTAAATACAGTTGTGTATTTAATTGTGCATTCATATATTTTCCCTTGAATCAGAATTCGTTCATTCAGAGCGCAAGTATATTCAACTAACCTGTTCCAAGGCTGGTATCCCTCACAATCTTTTTCCTGCTTGGTATCATTCACAGATCGTGCGATAATAATACTTTTCCAAGTTTGAACCCCAAACATAAAATTTAATCATTCTTCTTTAGGTTGAGCCCCCTAACAAAAATAATACCTAATCCTTTTCCAGGCAGTTACTGCTGATAGGACTTGTAAAAATTCATTTCCAGGTTAATTCCCCTTATAAAAATAAGTACTAAATCGATTTCTAGGCACCTGTACCCCAGCATAACTTGTAATAATCCCTTACCAGGCAGGTTTCCTTAACAGGAACTGTAATAATCTAATAATTCATTTCCTGTGAGGTATCTGTGATATAAACCTGTGTTATAAGTGCATTTCTGTCCAGGTCATAAATCATAATAATGGCCTTTCTTACCAGACTTTGCACTTTGCGTTTACATGTTTGAGCTTAATTAACTTCGTTGACGAATATTGCTGTAATGTGTTGCTTGCAAATACCAGTTCCGTCCTGAACTAAATTTATGATTCAAATCAGTTTACGTATACTTGTTTACCCTGCTGGCTGTGCCTCGAAGCAGACTATTAGAGACTGTTTGCTGGCTGTCTCTCTAAACAGACTCTTGGAGGCTGTTTACTATGCTGCCTGTGCTTCTAGACACAGAACAGCAGAAGGCTTTTTTGGGCTTAGGTGAGGCAGCTCACATTTATATTCACCCACAACCCCTTGTATATTAGTCTAAACAGAACTTTAAACACTCCGAGGGTCCCACGTCCTTCATGTTACCACGTAGTCTCTTCCATAAATCAACAAACCTGTTTCAAACTATTTTCCCCAATTATTTCCTGACTATAAGCTTATCCAATTTCGCCGTTTATTCGACGCAATTTATCACCCCCCCTCTCCCTCACTTTCTTTAAAATTCGGGTGGTGTACCAAATTAAACTGGGCACACAAACACCGCCTCTTGCTTCCTTGACGGGTGCTTCACCATGGCCTCCTCGAGTGCCTCACAGCGACCAAATTTAGTGCCTCGCCGCGGTCGGATTGAGTACCTCACCAAGGGGCACCAAGCGGCCTCTTTTAGTACCTCAGTGCGACCTTTTTTGAGTGCCTGAATGCCTGCACAGCGTTTTTGAGTGCTTCGCTGCTACTTCTTTGAGTGCCTCTCCGCGGCCTCCGTGAGTATCTCCCCACAGCCTCTTTGAGCGCCTTCCCGCAGCCGGCAAGTATGTAATAAACTTAATGACTAAGTCGCCACTCTGTGATCTGTTGCGGACGGCCACTCGCTCGCTGCCACATAATGTTGAGGAGAGAGGAGATGAGGAGGTTGAGAGTAGGGGGTGAGGTAAGGGAAAAGGGGGGATGAGAGATTAGAAATAGAGGGAGGGGATAGACGAGGGGGGTGAATGAGAGATATTGTAAGCATCCTCTCAATTTTCGTGAGTTCAATCTTTGATGTTTTTATAATAGTTGTTCTCATCCCAATTTTTCTTTACACGTTTTCTTTATTAACCTTAACGGTATTTTCAATTCACTTTATTCCTTATACCATTTATCTTTATTCGCGTCTTCGTATATCAAGGGATTACGGGCTCACCATAGGCCGTGCTGCACGGGGGGATTTACTCCCAGGTAGCTAAATCTGAAACAACAAATAACAACAACCTTCTTCGTATTACCCATTACCTCATTATTGTACTAATTTTTAATTCACCTGTTCTTGTTGCTTA